ATGCCATCCGACCGGCTTTGGCCGCGCCAGAGCCTGAGAACAAGGATGATTGCCCGCAAGCAGTCGCGGCCAGGTATAAGGCGCAGTCAGCAAAGCTACGCGCTCTCGGCCAAAGAAAGCTTCAGCTTGCAGCCAGGGTGGAGAAGCTGCAGCAACAGCTTCAGGAAGCGCAAGTAGAGGTACGAAAGGTGCAAGAAGAGATTGGCACAGCACAGGCGGAACTGGAAGAGATTTCTAGAATTTTCGCCGTCAAGGTGCTCATGCCAAAGCTCTTGGAGCCGGAGGTGTCGGATGCAGCTGCAGTTGGAACGTCCCCTTTGGTTCGCTTCCAGGCTCTGTTGCAGGAGCTTGGGACCAAACTCACGGATGAGCAAAGGGATGAACTGCACATGCTCTGCTTGGGCGTACTGCAGGAAGCCAGCCATAAAAGGCAAAAGGTCGGCCCTGCGGAGGAGAAGGTCGATGAAGCTGTGCTCGAAGGGCAGCCGTCATCCTAGCAACCTGCTAACGGCACCGGAGGAAGGATCTCATCTTCCCAATTTTGATTTCAGTTTTGCAAATGTCACTTCGTGGAGTGAGTCTGTGCAGCAGTTCTTCCTTGATAGTGGCATGCGGTGCTTCTTGATTCAGGAGCACAGGCTTCTGCGTCCTGCCTTCCAGCGTCTGAGGTCTAAGGGTTTCCACCTCACAGGTGTTCCGGCCAGGGCCACAGAGCAAGGGGGAGCCTCAGGAGGTGTCTTCATTGCGACGCATCACTCCATTCAGAGTCGGCCCGGGCCTCAAGTAGGGAGCGGACCTTCTTGGACAGCGGCATGGGTAAGGCTGGCAAGGGTCCAGCTTGCGGTTGTGTCTATTTACTTGAAGGATGGGGAAGGCGTGTATGGTGATGTTAACGCTCGCCTGCTTGAAGAGCTGGCGGCCTTTTTGAGAACTCAGGCGGGGCCGCGGGTTGTAGCAGGTGACTGGAACTGCTCACCGCAGGAACTCGCGTCTTCCACCTTCTGTCAGCTTGTCAAAGGTCACATTGTTAGGACGGGGTGTGCCGCGCTCAGTAGTGGCAATGAGCTCGATTTTTGTCTTGTGCATCGGAATCTGCAAAGTGTAGTGAACCTCAGTTTGGACCTGACGTCGCCTTGGAAGCCGCGCTATTGTGTGCGTGCTAGTTTGCAGCTTGGCTTCGTCCTTCAGCCGCTCCCCCAGCTACGCAAAATTGCTGTCAGACCTATTTTTGAGGGCCCCAGGCTTCCCTGGGAACTTTCAGGCACCTGCGTCCGTGTTCGTAGGAGGACCTAGGCACCCAGTAAATGCGGATGAAGAATTGGATCAATGTTTTGCAACTTGGTCTAAACAGTTTGAAGCGTGGCTCTTGTCCACTTGTGTTGAGGTGGATGAGGCTCACTTTGGTAGAGGTACCAGGTTGGAGTTGGAAGTGAAGACGAAGGTGTCTCCAATGTTCAGTGGCAGGTCAATTTTTGGCATGCTTTACATAGGATTGCAGCCGACCTGGAGCGCTTGATTGAAGGTCAGAAGCATTGCC